TTATAGGGATAAACAGATATCAAGCATGAACTAGTATCTATGGCAAGGAAAGACTCAGAAAGTCTTTGTGGCCAAAGGTAGTAAGTTGCGAGAGTGTTGTTCCTTCTTAGATTCTGTATAATGATGTATTGAATGGGTATTCTAGGCAATGTGAATCTGAAACAAACCTTCTTATTCGTTTGTTGAACAGAACCGGCTCATTTGCTGAATCATCACCCGAAGCTTGCCTTCTTGTAGCGGATGGTGGAACAAACCGAGGCCTTCCTGTAGTATTGACAAATGGCCTCAATCGAGGGGTTTTGATACCAGGAGTATAGTACCGTGGTATGTATAGAGGGGGGTGTTTGGCATTCACATCGCTCATTCCGTTGGGTAGATCGAGAGGTGGACCTGGACAAGTGTTTACCAAGTCTGGTGTCGATAGCATCAATGGGATGAGTTGCGGGCCGAATGTGATTGGTGGTTCATCGAGTTCCATCATGTCAAGGAATGATGATATTGCCGGTGCTTGTATTCCTGATGACCAGCAGACGGCCGAGTCACCGAAATTAAGGGGTATGGTGGTAGTATTGGATATTGAAGGTGTTGTGAACGCCTGATCCATCATCAGGGGTAGAGTAGCATCAAGCATTTCTACATCAAGGCTCAAGGAATCGGTGGAGTGTGCTTCCAAAACTGAGGCATCACCTTTTCCACCAGTGTCCTGGGTGTTATCATTGAAGATGGGTACAGGATCATTGGCAGGTAGATCGGATATGAGTGAGATCAGTTTGGCGTAGATGGCGTCAACGGTAAGATCTTCTTGATCGGATGTGCGAATTATATCGGGTGTAGAGCTGATGTCATGAGAGTACGAACTCTGTTCTCCAGTAGTCGTTTCCTGTAGCTTATGGAGAAAATCGTTCCATCTCTCATGAGGAGGATTGGCTAGATGGGGGGGCAGTATGAATTGGTGCAATGGATCGCGATGCATGAAAGGCAGAGGGTTAGGTGCACTTTGAACGACGTCTTCCATTGGGGAAGGATTGATGGAATTGAGATACCAAGATGCGGCATTGAGGAGCTCTTCGTCGAGAGGCTGATGGGGATCAACAGGCTCAAGTTCCACCAAGCAATAGTTTTTTGAATCAATGACTCCATTCTGAGCTCGAAGGTACTGATCCTCGTTGAACCAAGCGTGAAATTCGTCCAGCTCAGTCTACTATGGGTTAGTGCCTGCCACCCATCTCGTTTGAGCGAAGTCACTCACCAAACCGAATGTACAGTGACTCACAAAACTGTTCCAATGTTCACCACTTTTCACTTTTTCATAGAATACATGGCTTATATGATTAGAT